TCTTTCCCTCAGTGTCAGGCTGAGCCAGCACTTAACACCCCTTAATTGTTTTTCACCCGCGCAGGACGGTGGTGATGCCAATTGCACACGAATTCTCCCCAGATGTGGTGCTGGTGTCAGCCGGCTTCGACGCGGCTGACCGCTGCCCCCCCGCCACCCCTGGGCGGCTACAAAGTCTCTGCTAAATGTAAGGAGGTGGAAGCAGGACCGCTGGCTCGGGGGGGTTGTTCCTGCTGCCCACCCTGGCTGGGACGGTGGCGTAGGGGTGGCAGCTCTCCAGGGAGCTGGGGAAGATCTTTGGGGTTGTACCAGCCCATCAAGGGCCAGGGCCCCAGCGTTTTGGGCAGGGAGGGTGAGAACCACCCCTCGGGCTTCTCCTCCAGGCTTTGGCTACATGACAAAGCAGCTGATGAGCCTGGCTGGCGGAGCCATCGTCCTCGCGCTAGAAGGTGGCCATGACCTTACGGCCATCTGCGATGCATCCGAGGCCTGCGTGTCAGCCTTGCTGGGCAACGAGGTGAGAGCTGGGGGTCAGCGGGTTGTGGCTGTGGGGCCGTACTGGTGCTGCGAGCCGAGCCCTGGGCACGGCTCCCTCCTGTTGACCCCCTGTGTCTTCTTTCGGCAGCTGGACCCTCTCCCAGAAGAAAGCGTGAGGCAGAAACCAAACCCCAACGCTGTGCGCTCCTTGGAAACGGTGATCCAGGTCCAGAGTGAGTGTCCCAGGGCTGGGGCTCAGTTAATTAACATGGAAGGGCCAAGTGTTAGCATTTCCTCCCCTCTCCAGTAAACCCCATGACCTCCAAGGGGACACTTGGCATAAAAGACCCCAGCGGAGCCCTCCATCATCATCCTCCTCATAGGAGGGTGATTCCCTATGTGTGCACTCACTGCAAGGGAAGCTCGGAGACCTGGGGCACCCCTATCCTGGCACCTCCTGATTTTTGCTTCTCTTGCAGGTAAATACTGGGTGGCCGTGCAGCGCTTTGCCTCCAAGCTGGGCTGCTCCTTCCTGGAGGCACAGCACCACGAGGCAGAAGAGGTGGAGACGGTCACAGCCTTGGCCTCCCTTTCGGTGGCCGTGATGGTGGAGAAGAGGTGATGCTCTTAATTGATCCTAGGAGATGTGGGTGCCCCTCGCTCCCTGTGTGCCTGGGTCTGAGCCTTGCTGTCACGGGGGTGGCAGCAGAGAAAGGCCATGTCCCACAGCCAGATGAGCTTCTGGGAGGTCAGGATGGTGCTGGCTTTAAGCAGGTCTTGGGCTGTGGAAGATAGAAAATACAACTGTCCTCCCCACCAAGAGCTCTGATCCTACAACCCTCACGTCCCGGCAGATTTGGCCCCAGCGTTCGGCATCGGTGGGTGGTGGGATGAGGTCGTGCATCCATGTGGTCAGGATCTGGATTGACTTCTGGGGGATTCAGTGCTGGGCTCTTCCCAAACAAGATGAAACCGAGACCAAATCCTCTTTCCTTCCTTGGAGGCTGGAGGTGTGGGGGTTCATCACCTGCTTTCAGCAGGGTCCCATCTGCCCACCACCTTTTCTCATCCTCACCAGGACTCAGCCAGAGTCTACGTAGGTCTTGGTGGAGCAGGAAGCACTGGGAGGCTTGTTGTGTAGATGCTGGACTTGCCAGAAGGCCCCTCGATGCTGAGAGGGATGCGTTCTGTCACACAGGTCGTCTCCTCGTCTCATGTGTCGTATTTCTCCATTTCAGGCCACAAGACGAGCCGATGGAGGAAGAGGAGCCCATGAACCAGTGATGAGCGGTGATGTTCTCTGCTCCCCTGCTTCCAGGACGTGGCTGGACTCTGCTGAGCCCAGCGCTCGCTCTTCACTCCTGGCTTCCCGTTTGCCACGTCATCCTCACTCCCCGAGTCACGGTCCTGAAATGGCCTGGACCTTTGGCTGCCGCCTCTGCAGGTCTCCCAGAAAGGATGCTCCTGCAGCCACCTGGAAGATGTCCTCCTGCTCGGGACCGATGGAAAACCACAAACTCCCTCTGCACGGCGTGGCCTTGCAAACCTAGACCGTGCCTGCAATCAGTCCCCAACCTTCGGGACCTGAAACCCCTCTGGGGACATGCGTGAGAGGCCTCCACCCCTCTGGCTGCGGTGGCAGCCAGACGCAGACCTGCCCTTCTCCTGGGATCTTCCTCACCCTTGGGGAAGGGGGTGGGTGTTGGGATGGATGTTGTGGCCGTGCTGTGGGTGGTTAGAGCCGCCTTCGGGACTGCACCCAGAGCTCCTCTCCGGCCAGGCAGCAATGCCTTTGAGAAGCAGCCCTGTGTTTTGCTCGGGAGGGACAGGCTCTCTGTGTCTTCTCGCGAAGGCTGCCTGGCTCCCCTTCCTCTGGTAGGGCACAAGGAGGGAGTGAGCGTGACAGTGAGATGGGGTCTGACCTCGTTCCGCACGAGAAGGGTTTGGACAGCCGTGCGTGATGTGCCCATTGCCCTGCAGTCGGGGAAGAGCAAGGGCTGGAGTGTCTGCAGTGCCCAGGATTGCACCCGTGGGACATCCTAACCACTAACCAGAGCGCAAACCCTCTGGTGCCGGGGCTCTGATTTGCACTATATACAATTGACGTGTGCTAATGTGAACCTTACGTACTCTTCTTTCCATGGGAATTTTGGGAACAGACACCTCTTCGTGTGGACGTTACCAAGGTGCCTTGAGCCCTTTTCAGCAACCCGCTGACCTGAGGATCTGTATCGATGTAGACCCCTGTAATCCCTAAAGCAGGGGCACCCCGGCTGTCTTCCAGTCACCCCCCCTGTGCCCACCCTGCAGCTGCACCCCAGCCCACCCCCAGCACCCCGATGGGCTCCTCTTCTCCAGATGAGATCAAATCAAGTGCTGATGCCCTCTGCTTGGTGCTCAGCTCCCCCAGGGGATGCCCAAAGCCCCAGCAATACAGTGCCTGTCTGTCCAGGCTATCTTGGGTTGACAGAGGCAGGTGCAGGCCCCCCCAAAATGAGGTGTCCATCTAGATTTGCCTTCTTCCCATCTCATACTGCAACAGGGCATCGTGTGCCTCCTCACCCTGAGAGCCTTCCCCATGTCTTCCCTGTGTCCCATGGGTTGCCCCACAAGGACAGGTTCCCCCGCTCGGGTGTCACGGTGCTGGGCTGCAGCGGGATTTGGGGACAGCTAGGCTGGGGCAGAGGGGATGGATGGGACACTGAGACCTGGCTGAGCTTGGGAGG